GGAAATTATTAGGTGCATGACATGGAAGTAGTTGGACGGGACATGACTTTTATGGGCCAGACCCTAGATTTCCATGAACATTTTCGTCGAAGACAATCAACTACCGTGGAATAACCACGATTATTTCCTTGATTATTATCTGGAGGTCATATACTAGAAACCGCATGCGCGATTATTTTCTTGATTATTATCTGGAGGTCATATACTAGAAACCGCATAGACCACGTTGGGGGCTTACTAACGAGCCGATCCCCTCGTTGCTGTATCATGCAATAGAACGTTGGGGGACCCACTGAGGGGCCGAACCCCTCGTTGCTGTATCAGGCAGCAGCAGAAACATCGGCGAAACATGTGTCTGGGCTTTTAGCTAGTATCTATGCGGAAGTACGGTATAATATAATTGTCATTTATATGTATATATATGCTTCTTTACGGTCCTTATTTTCCATGTGGTAAAACAAATTACAGTTGCACAAATTTATTACTTAATTTTATGGCGCAAAACGTAGCAGATTCGCAAAACGGAACTTTGTAAATCAAATTCTTTATTCTTTTTCCGAAAACGATTCTATTTCTCATACTTGTGTGTATCCGGATTTTCATGAAGACAAAACGAAATTTTCGGTCCTCTGAAAATATATAATTAAAACCTTTCTGGCTTATATTAATGTTATTTTGTAATACAAAACGCATCAATAAGAGGTTTGATCCGGAGCGTTTACTAGCAGAAGACATACTTTGGATATCAAGAAACCTTGCATTTGACCCCAGTTAGCCCACTTTTTCCTTAAGTAAATTGACCTGAACTGAACACTTTTCTAGTAACCAGCTTTTTGCGCCTGAAGTCAGTTCGATAAACAAAAATCACAAGCTAAAATGTGTGTTAAATCACCCTCTCAAAATTTCGATCTTAATGTTTGATGAGTTAGGCAATCTACTGTAATCCTTCTCCGCCTGTAAATTTTTCAACGGTGCAATCTCCGATTGCATCTAGCAGTATGTCTGCTTTTCCGAAGGGTTTGTGCGCATAAAATAAATCAGTCCATGATTATTTTCATGCACTTGTATTATTCTACTCAAAGACAGGAAAGGTCACTTCTTCAGGTCTCCGCATATGATTCTGCCCAACCTTTTCTTACTTCTCTGATCCTATGCGAGAAATAAGTAGCCACGGCTTGTACGAATCGATTGCTCTTTTCTACACCAACTGGTTTCTGTGTACTCATCCGTCTGCTTTTCCTCCTTATGCTCCACCATTTTCCTCTTTTTCTCCCTCCATCCTGTTCAGAAGGGAGTAACTGGGACAAAAGCGCTTCCGACATCCTAACTAGGCGGGAGCTTGAGATTGCTCCCACGACGGCGCGGGTCGTCACGTCAGACGTAAAAGAGTCAACTTTATGTAATGCGACAGGTTTCGGAGGAAATCTTTTCTACAGTTTCAAAAACAGTCGAGGGCTGAGAACGCTGCCACGCTGACATTAGTTAGTGCAAAACCGGAAAGACGGTAAACAAGGGTTTATGGGGGTGGGGGTGGTAGTTAGTAAGAAATTTTAGAGCTAAAAGTACAGAAAATCGTAAATATAAAGCAGGGTTGTTTGAGTGTGCTAATTCAGTTTACGAAGCAGCGCGCGATTCAAAAAGCGGTGTGTTGTGCCGCAAAGATGTCTAGCGAAGCGTCAGTGGCCACTATTCGACTAATTTCGTGTAAATGGAAAAAGTTAAGCATGCAAGGACGGCAGAATTTAATATAACTAATAAATTTCGCGAGTGCTTTTCATCTGCCTAAATTATTGATTAGCCTGCGTGACAATTTACGACGACCTTGTTGTTTGCATCGATTTTTCTGTATGAATTCAAATGTTGTATTATCTCATAATTTATTCATGTTATGCAGCAATAGGCCGCAGTTGACGAGCACTCGCGAAATCTATTGATTCCATTAAATTCTGCAATCATAGCATGCTGTAACTTTGCGCCAGTAGAATTATCCTTTAAACCGTAAACAACTGACAGTGATTATTATTATGAATTGATTACTGATTATGAATTAATAAATTAAATTTTTCGAATTATTGAATTATAAAAAACGATTATTAAAACGCTCACCCAAACAATAACTCCCTAGGTGCAAAACCTAAGCATAAAAGGAAATCAAATCGCCAACGACCTATCATTTAACTCTCAACCCCTGCTCAACATAAACTCAAAAATCACAGCCAGTGCGTTAACCCCAATACATACACCCCCTCTCCTTCACCTCTAAAACCAAGCCTATGTCCGAAGCCTAATTTATGAAAATGGTTTAGGGAGTAAGTCATACAGCCAAACACAAATATGTCTACTGAAACCAATCTCAGTAGTAATATCAAGCTTACTTGAGCATCTGCATCTGAGGCAGAAGTAGTAAAGCACACTTCCCAAAGCATTTTTACTTTGCACAATTTCTAAAACAACTATTTCGGGACTTAAACAAACCGCCGAATACATGACCTGGCGAATTTAAAGCATTCGAGTTCTTTCTTTGACACAGATTTCAACGCACTTCACCAACAAAACGGCGCACGATAAACCTCTGTACGCTGAAAAGGCCTCCTCTCTGGGTCGACAGGAGAAGCGCCTCTTTGCTGGAAAGTCTTCAACTCCAAACCTGGATCATCACTTGGAGGCCAGCAATTCTGGTGGCAAATTTGTACGTATGCGCAATCGATCAATGACTGGACCGCTAACCAAGCAGCAATCTACCTGTCCGTTTTCGACGGGTGCAATTCGATCCATCCACCGAATTTACACCTGTCAGTCCGGCGTCGAGCGTGACTACTGGTTAAACAAGTAAGTTCTTCTATCTAGGCTTTAATACTGCAGGTCACAGAAACTATAGGAGTATGAGACTGTCCCAAAAGTTACCCAGTTTTCTCTTGAGGTAAGAAACCGTGGAAGCAATTATTGGACATCATAATCGGAGCTAACTACAGTAGGGCTCAGAATTCGTGCAACGTGTCACCATTTGCGGAAGATTGATACTCACTCGCTAATCGGCATTGAGTAAGGTTGTAATACTGAATATCATGTAGCCTATTTGCAGGTCATTTCAGTCACGATATGGTGCCGGCTTTTTAATTAGCTTCTGTCTGCCTGGTAACAAAAGTATGTACTGTAAAAATGGCTACTTAAGTAGTATGCATTTTATCATTGATTTCGACTACCTTTATAAATTCGAATATATTTTATGGAAAACGTACACGAAAAATTCTTTCTTATAATCGTCCGTTAGCTATTTTCGCCTTCTCTAAGTTTTATACTTCAAGAAAGGGTATCCTTTGGTTATAGAAAAATTTCTAATTATTAAATTTTTTACGATTGTGAGGTGTTCATACCGTTACTAACCTTCTACTTAAGTAGCCATTTTTTAGCAGTACAAAGTTTTTGTTAGCAGTCAGAAAGAAGATCGTTAAAAACCGTCTTCAGATCGTGAATGAAATGACTTGAGAATAGGCTACACGATAACGAGTATTACAGCTTTAATGTGGATTAGCGAAAGAGTATCAGTCTTTCGCAAATGTCGGCATGTTTCACTAATTTTTCACATATGTCGTCTCCTGGACACTTGATATTTTTCATGTTTACAATTTTGTCATTAACTTATAGAACGGTTTATGAGCCAAATGACTGTGTCAGCGCAAATGAGCCTGAGCTAACCTCAGGCCCGATCGGAGCGGGTTGATATTAGTAAAACTGCAGAAGGGACTCATGTACTGTTGGGTTGAGAGTGGGAGGATATTGAAATAAGCTAACTTTCCTTGCTTTAAATCCTCGATTAGAATAGATTGAGCCCCTTTCCAGATGCAATGTTTCTTTCTTTGGCTATGAAATGAAGTTGCGGTCTTTCGTCGAGGACCGTGGGTGTTCTGTCTTCTGATCAGTAAACCTTGCAGTTAATCCTCCTCCTTTGAATTATTGACCGATTCCGTGTCCTCGGTTGAACTTTCGATCTCTTTATGACTAACTGCACCCCCGACCACTTATATAACTGAGCCAGCTACTCGGTCCTGCTATATCCTCTATAACGACCGTGTTTTCAATATAATTTATTTGCGCTCAAAGTGACTGGGGTTTTATTGGAAAATCAAACGTTAATTGTGAGATCCTTCTTGTAGAAGCACTTATTATGGCGCGAGGGAGCCTGTTTCATTGGCAGAAACCAAGCAAACATTTAACAATACCTTTCTACTGTTTTAACAACTGGCACTCTTACGTATTACATTTGAATTAACCTTCACTTATTGATGTCGTTGGGTGTACTCATACGGAGCTAATCACCATCACCATCTCTAGTAGACCATCCTGTTTGCCCAAATCGGCCATCTCGGAAGATCCCAGTAAACCGTTCTTGCTGTTTTTTTTTACAGAAGCCCTGTTTATCTCGGAGACTAGATTAATCTTATCCTTCTCCGCAAACGGTCGCTGGATGGTTAAGGAGTTTTTGGGTCATTTGTGTATTTCTTGCAAAAGTTACAAAACGTTACATATTTTCTCAATACCGTTATATTCTTCCGTCTGTGTTTCCTCCTCTGGTCTGATAGTCATATCTGAAACTATTTCTCTCTTCTTCCCAAAGACGTACTTTTTTGCATACCTGCGTTTTCGCCCTTGAGGCAGTTTCAGTGGTTACATTTATAACTTACTCTTTGGGACAAGGAGGTGGGGTTAAACCTACATTTCTGCATCAGAAATAGTCTCTCTTCCTCTCTTCCTCAACTCGCCATGCTACTTCCTGCTTCCTAGTTTTTGCACACGTCCATGTTAGGACGCAAGTAGTCGGTGAACAGCGCACAGTCGCTCTTTTCGCTGCTCATTTCAGCCTCGAGGGTACACTTTTTTCTTCCTTTCAGTTAGTGCCTCTCTAATGCTTGTTAACCGTTCTCTTCGCCTAGATTTCGCTTTGTAACAAGTCCGGACCTTTTTTCAAGGCGGCGCCGTGAGAACAGCCTGCATCTCTGCCTGCAAGAGGTGAAAGGTGTCCCGGAGGACCAACAGTAAGTTCCACTTGCGTTTTTTTTACCGAAACCACTTTCATCGGCATTTTAGCTCTCGACTAGGCGCTGCTGGGAGTGCCTAGATGTTTGTTTTTTCCTCTTCGGGGGTATCGGGTGAGTTTCAGAGTTATGCAATAACAATGCTAGTGTTGTTATTGGGTATGAGACCATCGATTTCATCGTCAGGCTCTATCAGACTTTGTTGTTGAGACCCAGAATTGCTACGTCTAACGTCTTTATTCAAGACGCGCTGCTTCAAGGTAATCAACCTTCGCTGTGAGCGCTTTTCAGACTCGCACCCACTTGGCCGAATTCCGCTGGGAAACCCGCATGCGTCCAGATAGTCGCGGCTGTCCAAGCGCCACTTGACCATGCCGCCCCTTGACTGATGCAGCATAGGCCACTAGACGCGACCTACTTGTGCAATACAACATGCAGAACTTGGACAACACTTGAATTTGCTCCATAAGCCCTTGTAGACAGCTGCCACCACTGTGTCAATCGCTCCCAGGCGTGAATGAACGCAGCTAGCACTAGCTTTGGCTTCGTCAGCGACCACTGATGCCTGAGAGAGCATAATAGAGTCCTTCGACAGGTGCCTTCTGTCTTGTCCAACAACTTTGTATTTGGCCTAATGATTGTGGTGCTCCGAGTATAACCACTGCGTAGACGCTACAGCATGTGTCAATGCAGGATCCTCGCGTGCTTATCGATTGCTCCACCTAGGGGGCCGCAGGGGACCTCGGTGTCGCCAGTCCGTTCTTTGGTCAACGTCTGTTTGCTGGAGTCCCGAAAGCGGTGAAGAGACTGGCGTAGCCCCGATAAATAGAGCACTTTTGTTGTTAACCGAAAATTATTCAAGCACGAGGGCAAAATGCAGAACAGAAAATGCATTTGCGTGGATGGGGGAACTAAGTCTTTCACGTGAAGTTTAATGTCTTTAGAACCGCTGTTGATCCAGTCAGAGGACGATGGCGTCGTCTTCAGTAGGTACGAATAAAAATATAAATGGAAGCGATTATGCAAGCCCGAAGCTCTTGGTGCAAAGAAAATGAGCACGCTGTCAATGGAACAGTAGATAGAGTAGCCTCGCCATCTCATGAAATTTCATATGTACCTTTGAACTGTGTTTTGGTCTTGAAAACATTAGCGAAGTAGGGCTGTGATAGTAACTATCGTACAGTCTAATCCCAAGACATTTCGGCCACATCTGGAGGCCAGCTTACAGCCTACAAGACACATTTGAATTCATCGGGTCCATAAGGAATACAAACCCCAATGGAAAACGATGTTGTCCTTCACTAACATTCCCCTTACAAAAATGAGTGAGTTTACTCCTAATAGCAGACACCTAGTCAAAGACGAGTGGGGGAGGGGTGAAGGGAAGAATGCCCGTTCACCTCCAAAAACCTGCCCTTTCACAGGAATGATTCGTCTAGGATCGCAAAAATTATTTACAGCATCCCTTACTTTTGCTGACCCTTCGCTTTCTTCTCTGGTGAACATGTGTTTATAACCTAACAGTATATCTTACTACTCCTGGGTTCTATTACCATTCCATACGATAGGTTCAGTGACGATTTGGCTAAAGATGGCATGTATGGTCCAACCTGGACTTTATACCTAGAACTTATCGACTCATTTCATTTACGTAGGTATGTTAGGTTAGAATTATTATTGCGGTTTATCTTGCTTGAAGGGCTTCCGTTACGGTTAGGGTTCGATTAGGAGTAGGACTGATATTAGAGTTAATATTCTCTGCCGCTTAACTCGGCTATCGTTCTCCAAGATCCCTGGATGGTCGGTGCCGCATCTTGTTGAAGTCATGAACCAAACACTCGGCAGAAATACGAGTTTTTTTAATACTTCCCGTTGATTGTATTTAGTACCCGCTCCATCTGTCCCACTCATAAAAATCCATATTAACTTTCTTCCTCGATTACAGGCCTTGTGTGTCATTGTTACGGCTTGTGTTTGTCTATTTTTACGATGGGACGAACTTGCATTACATTAGCCTGACCCCTTTCGCCAACCATTGACAACACAAAATCACTATTCTGAATAAGATACGATTACTGGACTAAGAAATTAATTAGCATGCTGTTTCTGATTCCCACGCGCACGCATCATCAGAAGCAGTCACAGGAAATCATTATTGTATTTAGTTGCGGGAGAAAATCATTTTCACTAATCAACAATAAGTTCACTGGGGGATTCAGCGCTTTAAATGCCGTTTTTTCTCTCACTGAAAGTACCTATCAAACCACTTGTCGCCTGGCGCAATAAGACGCATTTTCGGGTTCCCTTCCGACTCAGATTCTCAGTTATGTTTGTTTGGCTATCTGTGGTGTATTTACCATTACTTCTGTGGGCTTTCAAACAGTGTTAGATTTAAGCTCACTCTTTAAAGCCCTGGGTTACGTTTTTGAAATATTGCATTTCACACTTCCCTTGCTCTCAAAGGTACTTTTGTGAGATCTACCTGGACAACATACTTCACGCGCGAACGACAGTGAAGACCATGAAGGAGATGCTTGTTTGGAGCGAGGAGTTTGACTTCAGGTACGCGACTGTTCAAATAACTATGCAGAGCTCGTGCTTATAACAATAAACGAACATTATTGAAAACTGCCGTAAAGCTTTAAAGTTATGTATCCTTGATTTTTGCAGCCTAGCCCACCTTTCGGCAATTCATTAAACGTAGTTAGCACGAGCTACTATTTATATATGAATAGGTATCTTGTTTGAATCGAAATTTCTCCTGCAATCAGAGCAACTTCCTAAATCAGACAGACTTTTAACAGCTACCCAAGGATGACTGCATTTTTGAATACTGTTCTCACAGTTATTTGGCCGGGAACACTCATATGACCCCCAGGCAAGGCTCATAGAATAGAAATCGCCAGAAGTTCCGGAAAATAGACATAGACATAAGCTTGTGGCGTATGGCCAACAATGTTGTCCCCTTCTCCTCCCAATGCTCGCTGCGTCAAAGTCATGTTTCTTCACGGGCGGCTGTTTCCTACTCGCTGACCTCAAGACCCTCGACCAACATCCACGCCCACCCATGTGTTTCCTAATAATCGTGTCTACCAAAGGGCTATTTGAACATGCCAGCCCCAGCCAACGCAGCAGGGGCCTCTA